TTTTATACATATTTTGATTACAGACTAATGTAAAAGTATTTGTGCATACTTTCTTAATTTTCTGAGTAGCCTAACAGAACAGAAATTCCTGTATCAAAAGATATAATGGGTGCTTTTGGCAAGTAAACCCCTAGGTTATTGTGTTGCAAAGACAATTCTGGAATGAGTTAAGTAAATATGGGTCATGGGTAAATGCCACGTCACAGAAGGTAGCTGGACGATGTGGGGTATGCATGCCAGCTTGGAGCCACTGCCCTTTAAGATCCTCTAGAAACTGCTTTTTATCTCATCACCATTCCTTACTGTTATTAGTAAGAACAGACCAGGGTTTTTTCACTCCTGTACTTAAACTTCAGTACAGAGGCACTTCCAATGAGAGTTGTGTTTTCCTGTACTTAGCTTTCCACAGTGGTGACAGCTGTCATGTCAGAAAGTAACCCAGCTTTGGCTTTTTAACTGCAAAGTGTCCATCACTGATCTTCTCTCAGTAGTGTGCTACCTGGCGGTTAGGTTTGTTTTGCTTTAAAGCGGGGAGGACAGACAGAGCAGGCCACCTTGGCTTCAAGTGTGAGAACAGCTTTGAATTTTCCAACCTCAGGCCATCAGGTCCTGGTTTCATAATCCAGAATGTGTTGAGTTTATCTTGTACTGTGTCAGTTTCAGGGACCTCAGCATGTTGCCCAGTCCCTACCCACTCTATGAATTCTCTGGGATAGACCCAAAGAGCTGATTATGCTGAGCATTCACTCTTAAGTGCTGCATCACAACAGTAATCTTGTTTTGTTAGCTTGTTGAAAGAATAATGTTTTCAATGAGAGGTTGTCAGAATCTTGTCCTTAGGAGTTCTCTTATTTTCCACCTGATATTTGTTACCATTATCACTCTTTCTTTATTTTTTCTAATCCCTGCCCAAGGATATATTTTTATTGATTTGAGAGAAAGAGAGAGAGAAACATCAATGTAAGAGACAAACATTGATTGGTTGCCTCCCACAGCACCCTGACCAGGGATTGAACCCGCAACATGGGTGTGCCCTGACTGAGAATCAAATCCACGACCTTTTAGTGTATGGGACAAAGCTCCAACCAACTGAGCCACACCAGCCAGGACCTATATTTTATTTTTTAATTTTTCTATGCTTTATTTTCAGCTGTTTGCATTTGTTTGGTAGTTCAGTGGGTAAATATATGAATATATTTAATATTATTGTTCTGCCAAAACATTTTGTATGTCTGTCCCACTCTTACTTGTTTTGTCTGTACTCTACATGACAGATTAATTACAGACTATTGTATAGTGACAACTGTCAGCTAGTGGAATGAAGGAAGGAAAGGAAGAAGAGACAGGGAGGAAGACAACATTTGGTTATTCTTTAACAATTCTAGAGGATTTTAGGACTTTTATGTTTTGCTGTGAGTTTTTGATGGACATGAATGGCAATATGTGGGGAAGTGACATTAGTAGAACCCTTCAGGGGACATGATAATTATTTCATGCTTAAGACCAAATGTGCAGTAAGCATGTATTGCATGCCTTCAGTCAGCACACATGGATTGCACACCCAGGTATGCGCCAGGCATTACACTAGGTATGAGATGAATAATACAATCTCTTTGCCTCTTAAGAAAAACAGACTAGCAAATGGATGGTTATAACACAGTGCAACAAATTAATATTAAAGTTATGAACAACTTTTTAATGATGTACAGAGCCAGGAATTTGTAATTCTCCCTGAAGGGTAGAGGAAGTATTTGCCAAAAACGGTGGCCCTTGAATTGGGCCCATATGAGAAACATTCAGTAAGCAAAGAAGAGGAAGGTAGGTCATTGCTTCTGCAGGGAACATGAAAATATTTAGTGACTGAGCTGAGTGTATCAAAGAATCACCCAGAGAAATTATTTTTTAAAATGAAGATCCCCAGAGCCACCCCAGAGATTCAGATTCAAGAGGTTCATTTGTAATAAGCACCTCAGGCAGTTCTATGATGGCTAGTCTGAAGACTGCATTTTGAGAAATGGCTGACTAGTTCCAGACTAGTGTGTGGCTCTTGTGACTCCTGGTTCAGGGGGCAGTTTGACACACTGAAAAGAACATCACTGGGTGTGAATCCTGGCTGTGTCCTGAATAATACACTTAATGCTAATCCATAGCTCTAGACTTTGGTAAGTCACTCAGTCTTACTAAGCCTGTTTTTACATCTGCAAAATAAAGGCAATATATTTAACTTTGCAAGACTGTTATGCAGTATAGAGTATGCAAAGTATCTAGCTCAGTGTCTGGCTCATACTAGGTGGTCACTAAATGATAGCTGTTACTATCCTTATATAGTGGCTACAAACTAAACCACTCTGTGCCCCACTTTCTCAGTCGTTAAAAAGAGATGATAATAGTACCAATCTAATATGGATACTTACATATCTGATATAAGACACGCATGAAAAGCACTTAAAACAATGTGTGTCACATAGAAATTATTTAATAAATGCACAATGGTATTGTTGATATTGATGATGATGGTGGTGGTATTACTCCTGTAACTAGCTGGCCAGTTCCATATGAATACATCCTAGTACCTAATGAAATAGCAAGACTTGGATAATGGGCTCATTCATGTGTGAACAAGAAACTTGAGAAATGCTGGTGTGGGGGATTAGAACATGAAAGAAAAAGTATTAGGGCAGTGGAATGACCATGTCTATTAGCAGCTGGGATAAATGGTCACATGATACTTGGCCCTTGGGAAGAATTATTCTTGGTAGGAAGGAGGTTTTACAAATTAAAGAAATAAATAAAGGAAGAGAAATAAGACAATCCATCTTGTACCTCAGGGCAGGGCTTTATGTAATTTTATGGAAAGTGGTCCCGGGAGAAAGCAGTAAGTGCCTTGAGGTAGCCTGGTAGGTGAGAGTGGGAAGGCAGTTACAAAGTTCTGGGTTCCTGCTAAGACAACTCAACTGAGAACATCAGGCCCACATCGTCCACACCCTGGGTGTATCTCCTGCTGGTGAGTGGTGGATGCCCACTTCCTCCATCTCCAGTGGACCAGGCTGACCCTGATCCCATTTACTCTTAAGGACGTGTATGGGCTCTCCTGAAGGATGATGACTATGGTGACTACCGGAAACTCCAGGCATGGTACAAAGAATATAATGTCCTGGGAGCCAAGAGATATGGGTTATGGTCCCAGCCCTGCCCTGCTTAGTTCTGGAACCTTATTAAGCAACCATTCCACCTCTGTCAGACATTCATTTGTTCTTGTGTTCATTCAAAAGACCTCTATGTAGTACCCTACTGCATGACAAACTCTGGAGGCGCAGAGAGACCAGGCAGGCAGCACCCACTTCAGTATGAAATCCTTCTATTGAGGTAGAGACTGTGCATGTACTGGCTTTTTAGACCAGGTACTTGCTACATATCTTGGAGGACCTCCAGTCCCAAATGGACCTTTCAGACAGTTCATTCATTCATTTCAACAGAAACCCTGATACATAGAATAAAATGTTGAACAGGTGAATCTGGGCAAAGGAAATTTGGATGATCTTTATCCTCGTCTTAATCTTTCAACTTTCCTAAAGTTTGAAAGTATTTCCAAATAAAAACATTTTAAAAATTAATATGAAATAATTTCTAGTGATCCAGACCTCTCTCTCAAAGCAAATAAATGATAGCATATAATGCATAATGTGTCACTCCACAACTAAGACCCACTAGCTCTGGAGGGAGAGGACCTGGGTTCAAGTCTCAGTTCATTTCCCAGCTTAGGATTTTGCCTAAATGATTTCACTCATCTGAATCTGCACTTTCTTCACCTGTAAAATAAAGTTTTCATCACAGGGACTTTGTGAGGATTCAGTAAGATTGTAATCCTATCTAATAAAAGACAAAAAGAATAATTAAGCGTGCCTCTGCTACACTTCCCATTGGCTAATCAGTAAGATATGCAAATTAACTGCCAACAAAGATGGCGGTCAGCAGCTGAAGTGAGCAGGAGGCTTGCTTGCTCCAGTGATGGAGGAAGGCAAGGTTCCCCGCCTCTGCGGCCCGGCCTCTGAGCTTGCACTCTAAGAAACAATGTTGCAATTATAGAAGCTAAACAATCCCCAGAAACCC